GATGCCCTCACTCTGGGCCAACTGTGGCTTCTAAATTTTCATTCCTGGCTGCAGTCCGAAGCCCATGGTGCTGAATATAGAACACTACTTAGAGACAACTTCATGTAATAGTTGACTCTGGGGAACTCAGGATAGCTGTACCCTTGGTCCTTGGTAGCATTAAAGGCATTCTAGGATGGCCTAGGATTCAGAGCATGGGTTCGAATCCTGGCTCTGCAACTTTCCATGCTTTGTGGTCTTGGGCACGTTATTTAAGGTCTTGGCACTTTACCAGTAGAGAGATAAGAATACCAGTGAGTGACTGAGCACCCAGTACGTAAGAGACGAGTTGTTTGTGGGGAACAAGTGATTTATGCGTGGTCAGTGTACATCGTGGAAGCCAGCCTCGTGGCTTCCTGCTTGCTTTCTTAAGGTGCTCTTTAAGGCCTGCCAGCCACTGCCTTCCCAGATGGGAGATTTCAGAGACCCACAGCTCCCCGGATGCATTCACACACACCCTGCAACTTTGCCCCACTCACTTGCAAACGAATCACAGTCCCTTCCTTCTGGCCCCTGGGGGCTCACCTGCGTGGAGGCCTTTTGGAGCATCTGTCCCACAGGTTTGAACAATGCTGACTCAAGCCAGCATCTCCCCAGCACACGGCCAGTGCCAGCTGCCTCTTTCACAGGGCTGGCGGTGGGGTGCCCCACCAGGGAGATGGAATGCGCCAGGCTTTTAAATACCACAGCCGTGGACTGTTGGCAGGCCCATGCCGTGTTCCACAATAAACCTGTCCCAGACGTGTTGAGTCGCCGGGTCCTGTGTTTCTCATCACAGCCCGTGGCTTTGTAGTCTCCCACGAGCAAAGAATGGAGCGTTTGCCCCCTGCTCCCGCTGGGCATGCCAGCCACTTTAAATTAAAAAACAAAAACAAAAACAACAGTAGTCATACCGCTTCGCTAGAGACCTGTGCTCCTCAGAGCAGCTGTGCCAGCCAGATCACTTGGGCTCCCAGGGCACATTGGCCCCTGGACCCTGCTGCGTGCACCTGGACAAGAACGGGACCTTTGCTGCCTCTGCTCTGCTTCAGCAGGGATCTTGGCTCTCTGGGGCATTGCCCTGGCATCCCACAGCCCCCTGGGAAGCCCTGCATAGCTACCCCTCCCTCAGTAACCACCCCCAACTGACTGTCTAGTGGGAACCCTCACCCCAGCCCATCCTCAAGAGACAGAAGAAAATCTGCCAGAGAGAGCCCTCCCATCCCTCCCATTTGCTGCAGCCTGTCCTGCCTCAGTTTCCCCTCTCTTGCCATTCCCTCCTCCAACACACACAAGGAATATGGCCCCTGCCTGGTGATCAGGCTGTGGGCTTTAGGACAGGGGCGGGGCTGATGGCTGCCTTTGACCCTGAGGAGTGGGAGGAGACAGACGGTAGAGTCTTTCCAGCTCATGGTGAAGAAAACAGGACAGAGTGTGACCAGAGGCCAGTGCTGTCGTGCAGGGGATGCCCTGGGAGTCCTCCCCAAAGCAGCTGTGGCTTCTAGATTTCCATTCCTGGCTACAGTCAGACGACCATGGTGCTGAATATAGAACACTGCTTAGATATGTACTAGTCTAATAGTGGACCCCTCCAACCTGGAAACCTTTCTGGAACACTTAAGAGCCCACATCGGCTCCCTCTGGCAGCATCCTGGGCCTGCATTAGGGGGAAGTAACAGGTGGCATGGGGGCAGAACCATGCCAGGTTGAGAGTTCATGGTTCAAAACCCCTGGGCACTGACTGCTCCCTAGGGCTCCCATGGGCCACCTAGTCAGGAGGTGGTACAGGGTGCTTGGGTATAGAGCCTTCAGTCACCTGGCTCTACCTTACCTGTCCGGCCTTAACCAGCCCCAAATTTTCCTTTGCCCCCGTATCCTACACACACCCTTCCCTGGAATTCTTACTTCAAGTTTAAGCCATTGGGGCTCCAGTCACACACGCCCTGCCCCACCTCCCCCTTCCTGCTCTCCACTGTCCGCCCCACCATGTTACCTTGCCATGAAGCCCTTTCATACACAATGACAAGGAGCCCAGGAGGCTGATACGTACACACGTGGACATGGGTAAGTCGGATGTTTTGTACCGTGACAGGGCCCTAAGGAGGAACTCATAAGGAAGAAAGTCTCGGTTTGGCCACAGATTTAGCGTTCTCATCTTCTGTGAGCTCAGCTTGCTCTGGGGCCGGCTGTGGGCCTTTGGTGAGGCGGCACACTGGGGCAGCAGGAGAATTTGTAGGGTTGGGTCTCTTACCTCATCAAAGCTTAGAAACGGGAAGAGGTCAGGGACCAGGTACCTGTCTAAGGTGGTGCTCCTCCTCCTCCTCTTCCTCCTCCTCTTCCTCCTCCTCCAACCAAGCCACCCTCTAAGTCTCCAGCACCTCCTAGAAATGCTAGCAGGTTATGTCCGTGAATCGATCAGTGGCTGGTTCCCTCCAGTCATCTCTCAGGGATTGGCTGCACACAGGAGCCTTTGGTGTGGGGGTGGGGGCATGCTTTATCTGCAAACTGTAAGATACTCATACCCCTCGTTAGACTGTAATCTTTGAGGGCAGGGCTAGCCTAACGTCTCTACATCTGTCACATCCCAAGAATCCCACAAAGAATCCAGCATGAGGTGTATGCCTGTAATCCCAGCACTCGGAAGGCTGAGGCAGGAGGATTATGATTTGGGGGTCAGTTTGGGACTACATAATGAAATGCTGTCAGAAGTAAATAAATTGGGCTGGGAATGTAGCTCAGTTGGTAGCATGTTTACCCAGCATGCACATAGCCCTGGAGTCAATCCTCAGCACCACATAAGCAGGTCTGGTGGTGCACACCTATAATCTCAGCATTTGGGAGGTGGAGGCAGGGGAATGAGACGTTCAAGTTCACCCTCAGCATAGGGAATTCTAGACCAGCCTGGGATACACAAGACTTTTATCTTAAAAAGAAAGAAAATGTAAGTTAAATAATAATAAAAAAAAATCTGCAGAGAGTTAGGGGTGTGTCTCGGTGGCAAAGCTTACACTTAACATGGATGGGACCCTGGATTTTCTCCCCAGAACCACAAAAGGCAGTGAGTCATCACAGGAAAACACCATCAATAGCAATGGTGCTCCCCTCGCGGAGCTGGCTTGCGGTGGGGTCCCCGTCTCTTGCTGGCTGTAAGCTGCAGTCCGGTGAACACATCCATTTCCCACGGGGCCGCACTCGTGGGGACCGTGGAGGAGGGGTTGGGTGTTGGTGGCAGTCCACACTTGCCCTGTTCCTCCCCCTTGTTCTGCTCGCATAGTCTCCCTTCCCCAACTCGGCCTTCCGCGTGCCGGTTTGCTCATTCTCCCCACTGTGTGTGGCAAGGACCCAGCACAAAGCCTGTCCGGGGACAGCGACATAGTTGAACAAGTTATTTTTTGTGGAAAGGCCCTAAAAAAGGAAGCATTCTTCGTTTTTTATAATCCCTTAACTAGTCTACAGACTTACACCTTGGTCCCATGCATTTTGGTATTTAGTGTCCTCCATGAGTGCAGTGGCCTCCCAGAAGCAGCCCTGGGTGGGTCCTGCAGCTGCTGAAAGAGACAGAAAATGTCTTAGGTTGGAAGCATCTCTTGTGTTCCATTGGAGTCAGTTTGTCAGGGACCAGGCCTTCCTGAGGCCATTGTCTTAGGACTGTGAAGTACACCTCTCCATCACACAACCTTCAGAGTCTCTTGTGGGCTGGTCAGCCAAGGGTCTTTTCTTTAGATTTATTTTTATGTATGTGCATGTGTGTATGACATGTACGTGTGGGTGGTACCTGTGGAGGCCAGAAGAAGGCGATCCCCTGGGGCTGGAGGTGCAGGTGTTTGTGAGAGCCACCTAATGGGAGTGCTAGGAACCCAACTTACTGTGCAGGAAGTGCTCAACCTCAGAGCCATTGCTCCAGCCCCAGGGGCCATTTTATGGGGGAGACTCATTGCCTTGACCCGGACTGGCTGCAGCCAGCTGCTGAGAACCTGAGTTACAAGGCCAAGCTTGTCCTCAAGTAGACCTTACAGGAAGTGCTGGAAGGAAGATGGCGAGCTCCCTGGGAACACACGAGGTTCCTTTTGTGGTCCTGTTTCCAGAGAGCCTTTCTGATAGAGGGAATAGCTACACTTTTCAGGACTCCGCTGTCCCATCCATCCAATAAGAGTGCTGAGTGGCGTGGTCAGTTGGGATAGTGTGGCCCCACGTGTACCTCCAGAGGCCCCAAGAACAGAACACCAGGCTTCGGCGGACTCTGGGGTGTAGGTGGCCGTCCAGGCATGGCGTCCTGTCAAGGCACTCTGGATGGTGGCTCAAGTGGCCTGCCCTGAGCCGGCTTCAGCTGAGCAACTGTGGAGGCCCTCGTGTCCCACGCCCTGGACAGCTGCAGTGTCCAGTTCCTGTCTCCAGGCTGGGCATCCAGACTGTCTTTTCTCTCCAGGGTGGGGAGTCCTCTCTGCCCGACATGGGAACCACTCAGAGCCTTACAAACGGTGGAAATAGGTCTCCCCTTGGAGACTTAGACATAATGGGTCTTGAGTCCAGCAGGGACACTGGCAGTTTCCAGGCTCCTTGGGTGACTCTGGTGTGCAGTCATACACGAGGAGTGCCCCCCTCTTCCATCCTACACGAGGCTGCCACCAAGACCTTCCTGAAACGCTGCCCAAACCATCCCTAGCCCCTGATGTGGTCTGAACTGCTGCGTCTCCCAGTGTTCCGAGGTGAAAGCCCTCACCCGGGGGACCCCAGGATGTGACTGAATTTGGAGTTAGTGTCTTCAAAGATGTATTTAAATATTACAGTGAGGCCTTCAGGGTGGATCCTATTCTAATATGACAAGTGTCCTTTAAAGAAGAAACCACATGTAGCTAGACACCATGGGTTTCCATGCGCAAAGGCAAGGTTCTGTGGGAAACGGGAAGAAGACATGGTTATAAGCCCAGGAGAGATGAACCCTGCCAACACCTTGACCTGATCTTGGACTCCAGCCTCCAGAGTCCTGAGAAAGTAAACTTTTATTTTTAAAGCCACCCTGTCTGTGTGTCCTAGCCACCAGGACGCACAAAGACACCACTTGTCCAGCAAGGCGAAGACGTAACGGTTAAGAACGTTGACTCCGACTTGGTTTGCTGTTTCTTTTTTTTTCCGGTTTTTCAAGACAGGGTTTCTCTGTGTAGCTTTGCGCCTTTCCTGGAACTCACTTGGTAGCCCAGGCTGGCCTCGAACTCACAGAGATCCTCCTGGCTCTGCCTCCCGAGTGCTGGGATTAAAGGCGTGCGCCACCACCGCCCGGCGGTTTGCTGTTTCTTAAGCGAAGCTTTACCGACTTACTTCTCTTCTCCATGTGTCTGCTTCCTCAGCTGCTCACTGTGGGGACCAGTAGTTACTCCACGGGGTTGTTGGTGAGGACCTAGTTGACACATGCGCAGTGTCCGGAGCCTCTAGTTCAGCATTGCTGTTTGTCATCACACAGCGTCTTCTGTCTTCCACACCTATTCCTCTGCTCCAAGCACCCAACTCTGATTCTCCCATGCTCCCACCCTCCTTTTTGTCCATGATTTCTTAGTGCACGGGAATGTAACAAAATATCCAAGGGTGGCTAAATTATAAATCTTTTTCGCCTCATTGTTCTTGAGGCTCAGAAGTCCGAGATCAGGGATGGGGGGTTGCATCTGGTGGAGCCTCCCACATGCATCACCCTGTTCCAGAAGGACACACTCAAGAGAGCAGGATGTCTGCTACATGTTTATAACGGGATCCAGCCCCTTAGATAACAACGTTTCTTTGTTTATGTGGAGAACCACCCCTAGTCACCCCTGAAGTCCCATATCTGAGCATTGAGGGACAGGTCATTCGTAACAAAGTCCAGCTCCACTTCCTCCTTTTCAAAATCTGCCCGGAGCTCTGTGCTCACAGCTACTGCCTCCTTCCTCAAATCCCAATCAAAAGCGCGCCCCACAATGCTGCTGGAACGTTCTCGTCTGCCTTGCATGCCTGAAGGGTTTATTTGCAGCCGTTGCTAAGGAAGCCTAAAATCCTGCAGGGTAGGGCAGATCAAAAGTAGGTGCTCGGAAAGCTAGAAGGCATGTGTGGAGACACAGATGCAGCCAAGAATGAAGGGAAAAAATGCAGACTATAAAGGGCTGTGGTACCTGTGCCAGGAATCCGGCATCAGCCACAAAGCCAGAATGATATGCTGCTCACCACATTCATAGTCACTGCAGAGCAGGAGGTGGACTATCCCTGGGAGGAGTTCCATTTCTACCACTTCTCCATGCTCATTAAACTGCCTGGCAAGCCAGGTAGACCAGATGGCCCTTCTTGGAAGAAAATGGAACTGATTTAGAGACTGTGTGGTGGGTGTTTTTTTTATTTATTTATTTTTTGAGCTTCTGGGTTTGTAACTGAGTAGGGAAGCTGAATGGACACTCCCAGAGGGACCCAGCTACACAACTCACAGTCCCCTAAAACAGGCCAGAATGGGATACTTGAGCTCAGTGCACAGGGGTCCCTGATGCCATTGGTGGCATCTCCAGCCTCCCACCACAGACCTCTCACTAGCTCCTCCTCTCTTACCAAAATCAGAACCAAATTCTGAGAATTTGCAACTCGCCTGTCCCAGGGACTGATGACATCTCACAGCCATGCCCTTCCAGAGGCATCTGTGAGTCAGCAAGGGCAGAGGCCAGTCTAGAATGCCCGGGCCTCCAGAAGACAAGGACCCAGATGACTCACTCATCACTGACCCCGGTCCAAGCATGGATGCTGCCTTCTAGCAGGAAGTTCACTGGGGGCAGGAAGGAGCCCCACGGCAACTGTGGTGTAGAGACAAAACCAGAGATAACAACAAGGGTTTCATCTGCTTCCCTTCCAGGACAGGCTACCCCACATGCCACTCTGCCTGGCATGTTGACTGGTTCATAAGAGTCTCAGTATCCTAGGAGGAGCAAGTGCAGCCTGGTGGGGGCAGGAAAGATGTAGCTCAAATGGTGGGGGCAGGAAAGATGTAGCTCAAATGGCTAGAGAGACTACAGTCTTGGAGCGTCCCTACTTCCCACATGCAGGTCCACCCTAGCCATTCCTGCAGCACAGACAGGGACTCCAGGCATCCAGTGAACATGTTTGGCTGATGCAGACTCACTTAGTAAGGGGGTCTGGGCTGAATGTCTCTAGACACAGTATGCTGTCTTTCCCTTGAGGCGAAAACCATCATCCCGGCTTCCACATGGCTCTCCTGGCCCAGTTCTGTTCTGGTATTGCTACCCCTATAACATGGCCTTTTCTACTCCCTGTATGTCCCACAGGTGTTTACCTAGCTGTTTTTACAGCACTGTGGGCTGGCCTATTCTTTGTGTGTGCGCGGGTGTGTGTGTGTGTGTGTGTGTGTATGTGTGTGTGTGTGTGTGTGTGTGTGTGTGTGTGTGTGTGTGTGCAGACCCAGACACGAGTGCATGACACCCAGCAGCCAACCTCAAGTACTGTTCCTCGGGAGCTAGGCACCTTAGTTTTTTGAGACAGTGTATCTCGGGGACCCCCTGGGTTTATCAAGTGCTAAGCTAGGCAGGTTGGCCAGAGAACCCCATGAATCTGCTCATTTCTGGGCCCCGCCCAAGTGCTGGGATTTCAAGTATGCACCACCATGCCTGGCTTTTTAGTGTATATTCTAAGACTCGAACTCAGGTCTCCCATGTCCTCTTTTCTGTGTGCTAATTTTAGTGTGCACTTCCTGTGGAGTCTCCCCTGAGGACAGGGATGGTACCCGCCTACTTCTGTGTCCCTTCAGCTTCCTAGAAACTTAATAAATATTTATCGACCAGCTTATTATTATTATTTTCTCCTTCATAACAGAAACCAGGCCTGTTTGTTTACTTGGTCAATGTTTAGCCTGCCGTGGGAGCTAATTTGGGTTTCAAAAATACACTGAAGAGAGGAGGTTCTTCCATTTTTTTTTTTTTTTTTGTGCTAAGTACTTCTGTAGCCTTTGAAATTTCACAGTATCTGTGGGCTCGTGTATTGTTCATAATAAAAAGGACCTCAGTTCTATTGGTCATAGGAGTGACGGTTGAGGGGGAGATGATGAGCTTCTGGGGCTGAGGTATTTACCAAGTCTCTGGGCCTTCCAAAAGGACGTCCCAGCCCTGTCCCTTTCGTAAGTGTATTTAAGAAGACGATAGAAACCTGGGAGCCTACGTTAGGAATTTCCTGTGGGCTTTAATGGGGGTTGTTTTTTAACTGCTTGGAGTCCTTGCAGTATTATTTCAGCTGTGAACCAAATTTAGTTTTGAGACACCCTTCATCCCTGCCCCTCGGCCCTAGAAAATCATTCACTGTACTTTGTCCCCGGATCCTTACCTAAGCCAGGGGGTCTGCTGTGTGTCTCTTGGTACCCAAGGGAGAGAAGGCCACACCCTTCTACCCCCTAAAGTAGTAAAACCTCTTGTTTTCCTAAATATTAAGGTTTTTTTTCCCAAAGGAAGGATATTTTGGGGTTTAGAATTCCTTTTTCAAGTCTTTCATGGTTCTCTGGGTCTGGAACCCAACCTTCACAGTATCCCATGGGTCAGTTTAGTAACTAAACAAACCACCTCAAGCCAGTGTGGTTGCTGCGTAGTGTGGAGACAGACCTCCTCACAAAATCTTTGCCATTGGTTGTGTTCCGGGTCCAGAGGCCAGCCTGACTATTCCACGTCTCCGGGAATGCTGGATTTAGACTTGCATGGGGTGAAATTCTGGAGGTAACAGCCAGATCCACCAGCATCCCCGGGCTCTCAGTTCTGCCTTGGGTGCTGTAGGTGTGGAGATACAAAGGCTGGCCTGTCCAGAGCCGGGTGTACTGCAGCCCTCAAGTGCATCCAGAGCTGGCCCTGAGCCAGGCATCCCTGTGTCCTCCACTGCTCTCCCGAACTTGTACCCAGAGGAGCTTCTAGCATCCAAAAGAATCCAGGCATCTCTCCCAACAGGACCTTGGGTCGGTTTCTTGGCCACTCTGTGTCTCCTGGTTGTGATACTTCCTTGTGGTAGAAAGCGGTTGGTGTTTCTAGTGGGATCTACGGGCAGGTGATGGGGATTCTCCGTCCTATGTATTTAGTACATTAGTCCTGGGCTAGCCTGCCACATTCTAGCCATTGCTCTCTTGTTAGGACAAGAATGCACTCAGCCTTGTAGGTGGAACGTAGCAACCTGACCTGGTGTGCTAGGAGGGTGGTATTAGCTTGGAGGGGGCAGTACCACCTTCAGCCTTGGGGGGGCAGTACCACCTTCAGCCTTGGGGGTGCAGTACCACCTTCAGCCTAGGGGGTGCAGTACCACCTTCAGCCTGGGGGTGCAGTACTACCTTCAGCCTTGGGTTCAGCCTAGGGGGTGCAGTACCACCTTCAGCCTTGGGGATGCAGTACCACCTTCAGCCTAGGGGGTGCAGTACCACCTTCAGCCTTGGGTTCAGCCTAGAGGGTGCAGTACCACCTTTAGCCTAGGGGGTGCAGCACCACCTTCAGCCTGGGGGGGCAGTACCACCTTCAGCCTGGGGGGGCAGCACCCACCCGAGAACAGCAATGCCACCTTCAGCTTCAGCCCGGGGGCGGGCCTTGTTCAGCAGGGGAACTCTTCAGTAGAGGAGGAGACCAGTTTTGAACCACTGAATCCCCAAGGTCTGATGTGGCCCGTGGAAGACAAGCATCTTTGCTTTCACCCCGAATCCCCAGCATGCGGCACAGCTGGTCCTGGTGGAGATCACAAAACCGCCAAACGAGGGAATGAGAGCCGCAAACAGGCTTTGCTTCCTTGGTTCGTTCGGTGGTTTTTCGTTTGTTTTGTTTTGCTGTTGAGACAGGGTCTCACTAGGTAGCCCTGGCTGTCCTGGAACTCACTCTGTAGCCCAGGCTGGCCTCAAACGCAGCGATCCACCTGCCTCTGCCTTCCAAGTGCTGGGATGAAAGGCGTGTACGACCACGCCCAGCTCGCAAACAGGCTTTTGAAGCCAATAAAATGGTGTGCAAAATGTGCGCGGGTGTTTCATGTGGTACACAGCGGTTTGCTGGGTACAAGCCCAGAGGACCCATCGGATCTCTCCAAGGGGACCGTGACCTAAAGGGACATTTGTGAGACTTGCCTGTCCACGGCTGCTGTTTATGCGGCAAACATTTCAGTGCAGTGCTGAGTGAACACAAACCACTTCCTGTGCGAGGAGTCCACCAGCCCTGTGGACACCAATGCCCTGGAAGCAGGCGCCTGTGTCCCTGAGAGACCCAGCCGCAAATGCAGGGGCCACATTCAGCCCCGGAACAAGAAATGGCCTGAGTCCTGGTCCTTGGACTCACTCTTAGGACGAGCGGGCAAAAATAGGGCAGGGACTGGATATGCCTCCCCACAGTTCAAAGTGTTTCTAGGTGACTCCCCCAGAAAAGCTGAAGAGCAGAGGAATCTAGGGGGAAGAGGAGTCTATCAGCTTAGCCAGCTGCTGGGGACGCTCAGGCCTTGCTTCCTGATGTTTCCAGAAGACAGCAAGCACCCCCTGCAGACAGAAGAGCTGAGTGAGTCACCTGGGTGGCTGAGTAGGAAGCCCAAGGTCAGAGTCAAATTCAGGCAGTGCAGTCAGACTCACCTTGCAGCTGCGAGGTCTAGCTCAGCCACCCCCCATGGCTGGGTAAAGTCTGGGACGGAAAGGCGTGGAGAGCGTCACTATAGCTCACTCCTGCCGGTTTCCTGGCACCGCCTTGGCTGTCCTGGGCTGTTCTGTCCCAATGAGAGCAGCGACAGCCTGCGGGAAGGGCCATTGGGCAGGGGAGGGAGCAGAACCCCACGAGGTCATGTCTGGAGCAGAAACACCGTCCTGAGCCCGGATAAATCCCGCGGTGGAATCTCTGAGGAGCCCTTGGTAGCCCCCTGCAGCCTCCTCAAAGCTGAGGACTCACCAGAGAGCCTGTTAAATCCAAGCGCCCTGGTCCGCTCCCCCACAGAGTCTATTTGGCAAAGTTCTGGTCGTGTTTTTACGGGTTCTGCCAAGGGCGCCTGGCGATGGAGAGACCACACTCCATTGGATTGCTGTTTTCCGAGGGGCCAGGGCACAGGGCTCCATCGCGCCCCCTTGTGGCAAGTCACGGGAAGCCTGGGAAAGGAAAGCGAGTGGGACGCAGCCCCACCCACCCACTCCCACCTCGCCGAGTCTGAGTTTTACAAATCCAAGTTCTGCGACTCAACAAAGACCATCTAATACAAAGAAGTGTACATGTGGATAAAAAGGCGGGCCCAGCTCGCTACTGAGAGCGGGTGCTGCTGAGGCAGGGGAGAGGCGCCACTGAGAAGCCACAAAGGCCTCCTGTGAGCAGAACTCCAAATCACGAGCTGAGTGAACAGAGCTGAGGGCCGGCCTGTCTCGGGGCAGCTTGGGGGCCACTCCTTTTTGGCAGCCTGGGCCTGGCGGGACTGTCGTGGGGGCTGTCTGCAGCTGCCGGAGGCTGGCCGCTCATCTTCCACGGATACCCTCCGGTGACCTCGCCTGGAGAGTCTTCCCAGTCCTGTCTGATGCACCTGCCTGTTCGTCCCGTCCACCAGGAGCCTCGGCACAGTTACCGCGGCCTCTAAAAGCCGGCCTCGGGATAACCACACGCCCTCCTGCAGTTTGGTGTGGACAACGGGGTCTTAAAGAGCGCACAGAGCCTCTGGACCGATCTGAGCTTGGACTCTGTCCCTTATCACCGTGGAGGGGAAGGACCCGGGGAGAGTTCACCTCTCGGAGCCTTGGTTTCCTTGTGTGTGCCATGAAACCGATTCTGGAACTTTAGAGAAGCGCCCAAGGCGGTAGTGGTCGGCGGCGTGCAGCTCCCAGCATGGAAGCATGAAGCTCCTGGTGCCTGGCACGGACTCACTGGCTGGGTGTTAGCGGGTCATTTAACCCTTCCCGTGGTTCTGATGGAGCACGAGTGTGCAGCCCATGTTTGTGACTCTTCCGGTTCCAGGGCAGAAGGTCTGAAGTCAGGTGTGGGCAGGACTGCTCCTTCTGAAAGCCCTGCGCTACTTTTCAGCTTCCAGAACTGACGGCGATCCGCGGCGATCTCTGCTTGTGGCTGTGTTACCCCAATCTCTACAACTCAACCCACACCCCGGAGCTGATGAGGCCATGACCCCCCCCCCCAACCTCCCAGTCACGAGGACATGGGGCATCTTCACTGTGGAGTGGCAGGTTTCCTCAGCCTTGGACTAAAAGTCTTCCTAAATGGTTGTGTCTTCCAGGGTGTTCAGACTTGCACCTCTTAGATATGCTGACCCCGACTGAGAGGAAACGGCAAGGCTACATCCATGAACTCATTGTCACAGAGGAGAACTACGTGAACGACCTGCAGTTGGTCACAGAGGTACCAGCAGGCCTGGAAGCCTGGGGGGTGACAGGGGGTGGCCCCGCAGTGTGTGGGGGTGGAGGCTTATGTCCTGACTCTGAGCCTGGGGCAGTCTCTGGTGTATGAGGGATATCTGAATAGCAAATGACACAGGGGTCTTACCCGGGAGGAGAGATGGTCACATTTTTTCCCCATAGGGCCACCCTGTGAGTCAGAGAGGCAGCTGGCACCCAGGGCCAAGGCCAAGAGCACACAGGTCCCAAACTAATGACTAATGGCGTGCTTGTGTGGCCTGTGCCTTGGGACTCTTGGCTCCAATTAGAGATGTTGCGGGGTCAGCCACCAATTGAATGCTGCCCTCAAGTCACATGACATCCCTGACCCTGAGCACAGAAGTTGGCTGCAAGTCTCTTGAGTTATTTCTAGTGCCCCCATAAACTCCTGAGAAAATCTGCCACTATGGCTGAGCATGAAGGTATGTTCTCTCATGGCTCCACGGGACTGCTGGCCTGAGATGGCTACCCTTGTGGGTAGCCAGCGAAGGCCTTGGCGCTCTGTCTAAAAGGATGGGGTGATGGAGTTTGTAATAAAAACTGCTAAAAGAAGGTGGCTTTTTACCCATGCACAGTGAGAGTCACCACGTCAGGAAGTGGGCTTGCCAGGAAGTAGCTTTGTGGAGCTGGACCTGAGGGTCACCTTCACTGTGAAAAGTCCTGTCATAGCTTGTAAGCCTGTACCCCTAGCAAGCGGCATGAATCTGTGGATGTCCATCCACACATCCCGGAGGGATAGTGTTCAGCTGCTTGATGCGATTGGAGTTTTGGGCTAAAATGCTAACCCACAAGGGTTTCCCAATTGTGTTGTCTCAAGACATCTGCCTGCTGTTAAGTATGTGGTCAGTGTGCAGGTATGAGTGTCACCCACTTAGATGTGGCATCCTGTGTGGACATTACCCAGTTCACCATCAGATTAATGACTCATGCAGAATAAGGCTCCCGAGGGTCCAGACAAACTGTCCGTGTCCAAAGACCTTTCCGAGGAGCCTCTGCCCCAGGTACTAAGCACTGCCTGGTGGGTAGGGGCTCGATCGCATGGAGTCCACACCGAGATCTGTGATTACCTATGAGCTATGCGCCCACCCACCCAGAGCCTGGGAAGGGCTGTTTCTTAGAGGACAGAGCCCAGGAAGAGAATGGCATCGTCCTCTCAATACCACCCGCTTCAAGCCCGTGCTAGCCTTGAGCATGCCCATGGCTTGTCTGGGTGTAAACAGGGGGTCACACATCTCCACAGGCACCCTCAAACTCCCATGTCCTGCTGGGCCCCTTCCTCACAGCGGGCAGGTGAGGCCGCACCACGGCAGCATGCCGGTCCAGGAGCCTGCTGGCTTCCTGTTGGTGGAGCTAAGTTTCCTCTTCCTCCTCCTCCTCCGGGCTCCCCTGGTTAAACACTTGTCCCCCCAGGAGAAGGTGCAGTCTGAGTCCGCTCCCTCATGCTAAACAAACCTGAGTGTGCAGGTGTGTGTGTGTGTGTGCGCGTGCGTGCATGTGTACACGTGTGTGTATGTACACGTGTGTGTGTACACGTGTGTGTATGTGTGTGTACACATGTGTGTGTACACGTGTGTGTGTACGTGTGTGCGTGCGTGTGTGTACACGTGTGTGTACGTGTGTGTACGTGCGTGCGTGCGTGTGTGTGTGTGTGTACACGTGTGTGTGTGTGTACATGTGTGTGTGTATGTACAGTGTGTGTGCTGACCTAACCGTTTGCTTTCTGAACGGCTTCGTTTTATACACCTGTAGATCTTTCAGAAACCGCTGATGGAGTCTGAGCTGCTGACAGAGAAAGAGGTTGCTATGATTTTTGTTAACTGGAAGGAGCTGATTATGTGTAATATCAAATTGCTGAAGTAAGCCTTTCCCTCTCTACCCTCCATGGCATGTGCACCAGCGTCTCTGTGTGGTCCGTCTGTCCCTCACGCATGCCACCCTGTGTCTCTTTCTGCCCCCACCCCACCCCAGCTCGTTGCCTCTCAAAGTGCCGTCACCTCTCTGTGCTCTCTTTCCTTCTGGAAATACACTAGGGGTTCCTCACAACGGGGAGGGACTGCCTCTGCGGACGGACGGACGGACGGTTCCTGCCCTGACTATGGTTGCAGAATTTCCTGAGCTGAGAAAGTTCTGGCTCCTGGTCATTGGCTGGCTCTATCCTTGGGGGTGGAGCAGTTCTAGCTCCAGGGCCTAACCTTGGACCTGGATTCCCAGCATTGATTGTCCCTTGAAGCTCTGGGCTGCAGATGGCGTGTGGAATGGTACCCACCAAACACAAGAAGTACCTCAGGAGGGTCCCTGCGGCTGTCTGAGGTCACTCATACTTTATACCTGTGTAGTGTGCCGAGACTGCTGCAGGGCCAGAGCTAAGGGACCTGGGTTCAGACCTCACCTCTTTGGGCCTCAGTTTCCCCATCTACACACTTAGAGGATTGAATCAGACCATAAAGATTCCCTCAATTCTTTTTTGTTTGTTTGTTTTGTTTGTTTTTTCAAGACAGGGTTTCTCTGTGTAGTTTTGGTGCCTGTCTTGGATCTTGCTCTGTAGACCAGGCTGGCCTCGAACTCACAGAGATCCACCTGCCTCTGCCTCCCAAGTGCTGGGATTAAAGGCGTGCACCACCACCGCCCGGCAGATTCCCTCAATTCTTTAAAAACAAAATCAAAACCATCAGAACCCCAAATCTATGTCACAAGGCCTTATGCATGACGTCACTTACTAGAGAGCAGCCTAAGTTCTGGTCCCCAGGGCGCAGGACATGGCGGTTGGGAGCAAGAGCCTCCCTCTCCATGACTGAGCACTCCAGACAGTTTCCCAGATGTCCCTGTTCACTCCTGGTCGCTGTGGTGGGGTCACCAGGAAGCCCCTGTGTAAAGCGGCTTCAGGTCCCTGGGTCTGAGCAGGAGTGACTGGGGAGATGAAGCCAGGAGGCGTAGAGAAGTGAGCGTGAAGGAGTAAGCGAGGCGTCGGCTCCCTCCACACCGAGGCTCACGCGGGGGAAGCTTTGAGAGGACAGGTGGGCTGGCCGACCCTTGGGCTCATCTCACTGTTATCCTCTGGCTGCATTGCCTTTGGCTGGGTGGCTTTACGGTCAGTCTCTGGGCCGCTGTGTCCGCATCTGTAAAATAGCAGTTTTATTACCCTTTTCTGCGGCTACAACAAAAAAACCCTGAGGCTATCTTCTCCCCGAATGAAGAAAAAAAATGTTTATTTAGCACACCAGCCTTTAGGTGAAGGCCTCACAGCAGATAAGGAAGGGGTCATGTGGCCGGCCAGGGGGGTCTGACGTTCTTTGCTTGCTTTCTTTCTTTCTTTCTTTCTTTCTTTCTTTCTTTCTTTCTTTCTTTCTTTCTTTCTTTCTTTCTTTCTCTCTCTCTCTCTCTCTCTCTCTCTCTCTCTCTCTCTCTCTCTTTCTTTCTCTCTCTTTTTCTTATGTATACAGTGTTCTACCTAAATGTATTCATGCACACCAGAAGAGGGCACCAGATCTCACTACAGATGGTTGTGAGCCACCATGTGGGTGCTGGGAATTGAACTCAGGACCTCTGGAAGAGCAGCCAGTGCTCTTAATCTCTGAGCCATCTCTCCAGCCCCGTGGCTCGTTCTTTTGGAACAGCTTTCTGTAAAAGGAATTAACCAGGGTCCTAAGAGACCCTTCAAAGGACGCTCCGCATGGTCCAGAGTGATGCACAGCATCCATACTTTTGGTCTTGAATGAATGAATCTATTAAGTATATAGCAAGCCAAGGTAAATGAATAAAGAGCCAGAGGCAGGTAGATACTTAGAAAGGAGAGATGGGGGGGGAGCAAAACCCCACGAAAGCAGGTGCTCACGATATCTTAGCAGAAAACAGCTGAGGAAGCCCTGTTGAGGCCAGCTGGAGTTCTGGATACTGCCTAGAGCCAAGTGTCCCCTCTGGTGAGACTTCCAAGAACAAACAACAGAGAGAGCTGACATCATCAACTCGGACTCCCACAGCATCCAGGAAAACTGACCGGGGACGCCGAGGTGGCAGCTGGAGTTCCCCTCCCGCGGCAGGCACTTTCAGACCTCGGGATGAACAGTGGTGACCTCTGTGGGAGGTGGTTCACCTCCTGGCTGTCCTCAAGGGCACTGTTTACTCTGGGCTGTTTGGCTCTTCTCTTCCCTCCCAGCCACAGAGTTAGGGGGCCAGGCACACCCCGAGACAAGAGGTCTTGAGGAAGACTTTGAGACGAACATACCTGGGTCTGAAATGGGGGAGCCAACCTTGTTTTCAGGTCAACTTCTCAGGGAGTTTACACAGGACAATTTATCAATATAACGCACATTACAAACAGTAGTGCACCTGATGATCCAACTGCCTATGAAAGGCTCCGCCTCCCCAATATTATCCCAAGCTCCCCGGACTGGGTCTTTGTGGCAGTGCTCAAACCACGCCCAGGTCGTACAACAATGCCTATGCCTTCATATTCCAGAGGCCTTCACACCACATGCTCCTGGCTCACACTCAGTACAGAGAGTGGGTCCTGAGCCCAGGGGAGAGGCTGGGTAGTCACCGCATTTGGAGGGAGGCTGCCTGCCTGCCACCTGGGAATAACGGCTCTTTCTCCCCAAACCTACGAGCATTGCACACGAAGGATTGGATGGTTTGAAAATAGACATCAGCATTGTCTGTTAAAGACATACGTGGACCTAGAATACCAGAGCTGGGGGACAGAGACCGAGAGTCCCTGGGACTCTCTGATGTGCCAGTCTGGCTGAATCAGGGAGCTTCAGTGAGAGGCCTTGTCCCAAGAAACAAGCTGGAGAGAGGTCGAGGAGGACACTCAGGGCGTCTGGCCCTCACGCGCGTGTGCTGAGACTCGGTGAGGGCGTTCCACGAGTTCTGCCTTCCCTCGTGGGAAGAGTGTCCAGAGTCACAAGTCCTTTGTTTTCCCTTTAACCTGGTTCACGGCAGCTGACTCAGGCAGGTGACTCTCTTAGTCATGACCAAGGCATCTGGGGAGGAAAGGGCTTATTTGACTTATACTTCAGCATCGCTGTTCATCACTGAAGGAAGTCAGGACAGGAACTCAAGCAGGGCAGGAACCCGGAGGCAGGAGCTGATGCAGAGGCCATGGAGGGGTGCTGCTTACTGGCTTGCTCCTCATGGCTTGTTCAGCCAGCTTTCTTATAGAACCCAGGACCACCAGCCCAGGGACGGCACCCACCACCCACCATGGGCTGGGCCCTCCCCAATCAATCACTAATAAAGAAAATGGCCTACAGCCCAATGATAACATGGAGACAGTTTCTTAATTGAGGCCCCCTCCTCTCAGGTGACTTCAGCTTGTGTCAAGTTGACATATTGTTGTCCTCCAGAATCTGATGATAGACCGTGTTGCTGAAGACCACATATATCTGAGTCACAGGACAGAGAAATCAAGTTGGTACCGATCTATCCCTGCTGGCTAGCTTTCAGAGTGCCAGAAGGTTCTATGTAACAGAATTGGGGAGAAGAGTAAGCAACAGTCTTACCCAGCCTTGAACCCTGTGAGCCATGATAATGACTGGCCTGGAAAAGAACGTGTTCAGTGTGTGGGAAGCATTAATAGATGCTAGGACACCGACTGTCCCTGTCCACTCAGTCTGTGGACATCCAGTGGAGCCACGGATGTCTTGTCAGCCGTTAGTGAACGCTCTGTGAATTGCATGTTCTTAGCTGACCACTCCCACTGTGGCCCAAGGCCTCTCGTGTGCAGATCTTTCTATGAGGTAGCTGCTCACCAGAGGGCCTAGTACTTACTCTCGGGGCTGTGGTTAGGACAAGTGGCTCACTGGATCACCCTCTACTTCACATGTCTGTCCTATGCAGTAGAACATTCTAGAAAGAGACTCTCAATTGAGCCTCGTAGGTGGTAAGCCAGGCCATGATTTCAAGCTGGTTTCTTGGTTAGACAGCTTGATTCTATCAGGACGACAGACTAGATTATCAGGACCCGGGCATTGACAGCACCCTGAGACGGTGACTGTGAACACAGCTTTGCCTCCCAGACCCAACTTTTCTCATCTTCCCCCATCATTTAAGGAGGAGGAAGAGGGGGAAAGCCCTTGTATAATCCTCCCAGAAAAGCTGCTTTCGAGGAAACTATGGACTGAGGGGGTCTTAGCAGTTCGTGACATGGTTGTTCGTTTCTCAACCTCCAAAGTTACCAGTGGCTAATGCTTGAGCAGTTCTTCAGGGATGCTCCACACCACCCCTCCAGAGTCCCTTGGACCATCCTGAGGACACAGAGCTGCTGTTCCCACACCCTGGGTGGCCACTGCCGACCTGCCCCATGGGCGCATGGGCTAGAAGGGAGATTGCTGATCACTTATGTGACCTGTTGTCTCCCAAGTCCCCTTGGCTGGAAGACAAGGAAAATTTCTTCAACTGGAAAAAAAAAATGTGAGAGAAAGAAAAGCAAATGGCCTGATGTTTTAAAGTTGGAGACGTGGATTGTGGAACCTCTTTGGGATTGCTTAGCCTTACCCACACCTCATGGTTTCTCCAGTGTGACCATGAAAGTACTCACAAGAATTCACAGGGACACCTCCCAGCCTTGTGTTGAAATCATGTACACCATCGTCCACCCACCCACCCACCCACCCACCCATCCACCCCCGTCATCACTAGGGCTGTTGAACACTCAGCCTCACATGTGGTCTCGGCCCAGCTGTATATTGTTATCCTTGCCACGTAGAAGTTGAGCGTCTTCCATGTGCTGCTAAGCTGCACACTTCAGGGTTGGAAGGAAGGGTGCCCCGTCCGGCTGCCGTGGCCCTGAACACTGCACGCAGAGGGTAGACCCAGAACAGACACTCCCCTGTCCCTTCAGCAGCTTTTCCCAGCTTTCAGGATAGAAACTGTTTGTGCTCATTTTATTTTTCATGATTGTTTACCTAATCAGCTTAATTAGACACATCAACGGAGCCATGGGCAGGAGAAGAACTTCCCATGGTCATTTTTATCCAACTTTGGGAAACTTTGAGAAACACGATGAGGTTTTGTTCGTGGCGATGGAAAGTTAGTCTCTCCTCCCCCTTGTGACGTTAACTTCCCTCAGAAGATGAGGGTCCCAGGAATGGGCACACTGCTCAGACTGAGCCAGCCTTGGACTTTCACGGTAGATAATGCATGCTGAGGGACGGCAACATGGGGCCTTCTCTGAGTTGTTAAAGAAAGGAGACAGATGTAGCAAGCAGCTACATCTACAGCTGAAGAAAGCCGCCCAGGCGATCTCTCTCTGTCATACTAGACTCATGTCTTTCTCTGTCCCTCGTCTCCCCAATAGATGCTTTAGTGGCGCTCGGGTCTGTGACCCTCACATCCATTCCATTTCTCTGCAGCCTGGCAGTGTGGGGGTGTTGCCAGACAGAGTGAAGGCAGGCAACTCACCTTCCATGTTCCCATGCAGGGCGCTGAGAGTCCGCAAGAAGATGTCAGGAGAGAAGATGCCCGTGAAGATGATCGGTGACATCCTGAGCGCCCAGCTGCCACACATGCAGCCCTACATCCGCTTCTGCAGCTGCCAGCTCAATGGGGCTGCCCTCATCCAGCAGAAGACTGATGGGGCTCCGGACTTCAAGGAGTTCGTCAAAGTAAGGAGGCCAGGGCTGCCGTCTTGATGTGTTAGGGGTTCATCAAAAGTCTGAAAGCATCTTTCCAGTAAAGGCCGCTGGGGATGCATGGAAGTCTTGAGTGGTGGTATGCTTGCTTGCACAGGAGAGCTGGACAGAGAGGTTTGGAAGCTTTGAAATCGCTTCTGGGATATGCTTTCTCCAGGTGTCCGTGGTATTTTGAGAGGCGTGTCTAACGCCTTCATTTCATTTTCTTGGCCCGTGTAGACGGGGGCCCTTAAGTTAGCATCAGTATTCCCAGTTCTCTGCACAGAGGGAACACCCAGGGTCCCCATGGCCCCTGCACCCCGGTTGTGGCTTGCTTCCTGTTACTGTGATAGAACACTCTGATCGAAGGGGAAGGAAAGAGTTTATTTGGCTTATAGGTTATAGTCCGTCGTCGTCGTCGTCGTCGTCGTCGTCGTCATCGAGGGGAACCAGGGCGGGAGCTCTGGAGGCAGAGGCTGAAGGTCTTAGGGAACGCAGCTCACTGGCTTGCTCTGTGGCTCCGGTTCAGCCGCTTTCCTTACACAGCCCAGGCCCACCTTCTGAGGGACTGTGCCATCCAGAGTGCAGTAAGCCCTTCGACACCGATTAGCAATTAAAAAATGTCCCACAGGCCGATCTGATCGAGACAGTTCCTCAGCTGAGGTTTCCTTTGTCCGTGTGTGCCAAGCTCAGCCATCCAAACTCCTTTCCAGTGGGAAGTCACGATGGGCTTGAGCTCTGGGCAGCCCGTGGGACTCAGTTTGACATGCCACAGCCCTGTTGTAGGGCTAGCAGGGTCTAGAGAGCCACATCCACCAGGGGACATTTGTGGAGCTGGTGGTGCCAAGGCTGCTAGAGGTCTCCGCCTTGGTGTTGCTCAGAGCGGGTCACTGCGGAGTCACAGCAGGTACTCAAACAAAATTTACCTCTCTCAGGAAAAAGAGAAAAAAAAAACAGGTATTTCCTGCTAAATAAGCAGCAAGTCTTTGTGCCCCAGGCTTTGGGGTGGGGGAGGCGGGGGGGGGGGGGTCATCCTCACCTCAGGAATCCTGCTCCCTGAATCGTCACAGTGAGGTACCGCTGTGCTGACGTCTTGATCAGAGCCTCCACATGCACAGTGTTCTCTGCTCTGCTCTGGTGTTTCTCTGCATCGAGTGCTTTGCTATGCGAGCCAGTGACTGAGGCATTCTGAGGAGAGCCGTGGTGGCAAAGAAGAGTGAGAAGTGAGCCGAGGCTGAGGCGAAGACGGAGGGTAGATGCCAGGGTGCCAGCACCACAGGCCGCTGTAACTTCAGCCCAGAGCTCAGCTTCCGGCTAAGGGCAGGATGAGTCCTTCCCTGTTCCAGCGTCAGGGCGGGGGCTTGCTGGCCCTCCCCTCCCGTCCTAACCGCTGCTGCTTCGCTTGATAGGAGTTTGGCCTCCTATGTTTCCAAACTGATGGTGAGCACAACTTGACACCAGGCCCAGGGGCTGATGGTTTGGGGTGCCAGAACCCCAGATGTCTGTGCCTAAAGCACCAAACTGGACCCCAGACATCTTTATTGCTGCAGGCGAGGTGCTCCTTTTTGTGGTAGAAGAAGGACTCTTGTCCACTGGAGGGGTTGCTAGAGTTGGCAAAGTGGTGGGAGATTGGGTGGCTGGAGGATGGTTCAGGGTAGAGCACTTGCTGGTCAAGCGTGAAGACCCGAGTGCCAGTCCCAGAAGGTAGGTGAGAACCAGATGCCCAGAGCTGCCCTCTGACCTCCATGTGCACCCCCCACACACACGTGTACACATGCATACACATACACAGGCACACATAAACACACAGGGACACACGCATGTGCACACACACATAACTAATAAATAAATGCCTTTTTTTTTTTTAAAAAAAAGCGGTAAGAGGAAAGACACCAAGAGCCACTGGTGAGGAGATACTGCAAGGACCACCCGAGACTGGAGTCTCAGTCCTCAGGTCTCGGCTCCGCCATCCAGCCCTGCCTGGAGCTCCTTGAGGCCCGCACAGGAGTTAGAAACACCCGAGAAACCAGATAATTACATCAGTCCTGGCTTCTCTGGCACTCAGTGGGATTTTCACTCTCATTGAGTAGTATTTGACCCTCCTGGACCCCTGGGATATCTCAAAGGTTTTCAGACATCTGGAAGAAATTCTGGAGCTAGAATCTCCTCTCGGGAAAGGTATACTGAGTCTGGAGGCAGGGTGTGGATAGGCCGCATCTGAAGGTCCCCATCTGTCTTAGTCAGGGTTTCTATTGCTGTAAAGAGACACAGTGACCACAGCAATCTTAGAAAGGAGAACATTTCATTGGGTGGCTGACAGTTTTAGAGGTTCAGTCCATTGTCGTCACGGTGCCACATGGTGGAGGCAGACGTGGTGCTGGAGAAGGAGCTGAGTCCTATATCTTGATCCGCAGGCAACAGGAAGCGAACTGTCTCACTGGGTGTGGCTTGAGCATAAATGAGACCTTAAAGCCCACCCCCACAGTGACACCAAAGCCCACCTCCACAGTGACACACTTCCTCCAACAAGGCCACACCTCCTAATAGTGCCGCTCCCTTTGGGGGCCATTTTCTTCCAAACCACCCCACCTTCCCATCTCTGCAAATGGTGTCAGCCTGGACCATGACAGCTGGACCACGCCTTACAACTCCAGGCTCCTCCGTTACTATCCAAACGGATGGGTAATGGGCAGGGAGTCCTAAATGACACGTGTAATGTAACTGATTGTGGATTTTTGCAGATTTCTAAAGCACATTTAAAAAAAAAAATCTCCTCTTTCAGAGACTGGCAATGGACCCTCGGTGCAAAGGGATGCCACTGTCCAGCTTTATCCTGAAACCTATGCAGCGTGTCACCAGATACCCACTGATCATTAAAAACGTAAGTACAGACACCTGTGCCTCTGCAGGCAGCGGGGGCTGAAGGCAGCCGGAGGGAGCAAGAAGTGGCCAGAGGCAGAAGTGGATTTCCCAACCAGTGCACCTGGGGGTTGTCATGTGGAAGTCATGTGCCCACAGGGTGCCGAAGCCATCTGCTTGGTACCTGGGAGGGAAAAGGTGGTTCTGGGTGGAAAAGACTAACAAAAAAACAGCCTTCAAATGGGTTCCAAGCCAGAGGACGAGAGTTCTGCCTTGATGCTTCCCAACGATGGCACGATGCCTCTGCAAGGAGTTTGGAGCAACAGAGAGAGAGAGAGAAACATGGTTCCTACCGCCTGTCTTGGGAAAAGCCATTTCCTGATGCTCCTCCCCAACCATACACCTGTTTTCCTCCTGGCCTTCAAGAAAGCCAGTTCCAGAGAAAGCAGAATTAGCGTTTCAGTGTCCACACCCAGAAATGAGCTGCAGACTCAGCTGCCCTCTGAGCCACAGGGCCAGAGGGGAAGGAAGCCTGGTTCCCCAGGGAGGTAGAAATTGCTTCCTTTATCTGAGAGCAGTATTCAGAAACCTAGCTGTGGGAACAGGTGTGCTCACGGTTCCTCTGGGACGTGGGTGCTCGCTCTCTCTCTCTCTCTCTCTCTCTCTCTCTCTC